CAAGTAAACATTTCAAGTCAACCTCTTAACAAAATAAATTACCTGGCAATTAAAATGTCTTCCTTATTCTTGATACCAATGAGCACTATAAAATAAGATTAACATTCTTTAAAAAACAGAGTTTCTGTAGTTTTAACTTTAAAATTTTAGACATTGTATTAGTATGAGTTCAATTTCTTCAACTATTCGATATTTGAAATCACATATCAGAAATGGCATGTCTCTGAGAGATAGGGTTATAAAATGAGTAAAAGTAGGTGGAACTAGACTCCCTTCATTCAGATTTCAGCTCTACTACTTAATAGCTGTTACACTGAGAAATATGCTGGACTTTCCAGTTCCTTTGTTTCCTCATTTATAAAAGTTAAGATAGTGATAGTACTTAAAGAATTTCTTTGAGTTCATTTCCAACATCATACAATACATATTAATAATGATTATAAGTTGTTTTTATGCCTAGAACTAACATCCACACATTTGATATTCAAAATATTGTTTGTATGCAGGTGCAATATCCACCAGGGGACTTTTGAGTTGAGGTAAACATTGGTACTTACAAAAATGTCATGGGCTACACTTGGTACCAGTTTATGGAAATGCTATGTGATGGGAAATATTTCTTTCCAAATAGCACAGGGCTTCCTCTCAGCAGGAGCCCAGCAGAAATAATTAACATTGGCAATTCACATAGGCTTTGGGAAACTATGCCTTTCCCAGGTCACAGGCCAGGTACAAGGATATGAAGTCTTCATCAATAGAAATATAATTCATTTTAGCCTAGAATTCTTTTTTTCTGGGAATCGAATTCAGGGTCTCATACTTGCCAGACAGGCCCTGCACCGCTGAGGTACATTCCTGTCCCTAGCTTGGAATTTTAATGCAAAGTACATATCTGAGAAAGGACTTGCATCCAGTATATGGGGAGTTAGAGTAGTATTGTATGAATAGGAGATGTTTCATTTTGATACAACATAAGTGAAAATGATCAACTCCTCACAAGAAATATAATGATTATGTAATGTAAACATGTACTAATAAAAATAAATACTGGAAAAAAATAGAAAGAAAAAAATAAAATCAAAAGAAAGTGTATCTATCATGCCTTTCCTTTTGTCTGTCAATGATTACCTTAGGATTTGACAAGGGCTTTCTAGCTGAAATTTCCATTTAACATAATTTTCAAAGACTTACATAGCAAATAGTGTTTTTTCTAAGACAATCTAGATATTCTCTATTTTCCAGTTACATGGACAAAAAGTTAACATATTATATAGTTATGCCTCTTTCTTTCCATAGTAAAAGCCTATTCATATATTTTTAAGTAGGAGCAAGTCTTCTACCTGAAAACATTTTTAAAACTGGTTAAATTTATGCTGTAGTTTAACTGAAATCATGTAGAATATATTACAGTGCACAAAAGAGACATTATAATCAGTTTAAGATTCATATGGGATGATAATATCAATTAAGACTCACTTAGATGAGCATTATTTAGATGATTTGCAAAGTATAACTTACTATTAGAATAAGTTGATTTATTAAACATCATTTATCATTTATCTAGATACAAGAAAAACAGATATAAAGAGACTGCCAATTTAAATCTGGACATAAAAACATTGGACCATTTATGTGACATAAACACATTAGCAGCCTCAATTATTTTGAAACTACACCAGTGCTATGGGTATAAGCATAAATTGCCAGCATCAGGCCATCTTTCTTATTAATATAAGACAGCAGACATGGATTTAACCTAGAGAAAGAAGTCTTTATTTTGGGTCATTACCTTTGAAACTATTTAAAATCTTGCCCCTATTTTGAGAAGGAAACTGCTTTTACATGTGTGCACTCAAATACATATAACTGTATGACTATGAAGGATTTAGAAGGCATTATTGTTCCTCATTGTACCTTAATCAAAAATACTTCCTCTAGATTAGAGGTAGCATTACCAGATGTTAGGCAAAATACCACCTTCTATGGTAAACATTTGAAGTTATGTTTTCCGAAAAGAATTTATAGTTAATGAGCATGATTTGCAATATAAGTTTTATGGGCCTGTGTTATGCAGTCTGGTTGATTTGTTCTAACAAATATTTGGAATAAATAATATTCTTATTTTGCACAGTTACATTTGTAAAACTTAGAAAATTTTGTTCAACAAAATTCAATACAGACCCAAAAGTAATACCTTATCTCACTCAAATTCACCTTTATCTTTAAACAAAGGACTATTGAATCCTTCCCATCAAGAATTTTTCATGAACATATACCTGGATTAAAGAATTAGTGTTACTTTTTGCAGACATTAAATTATGCACAGTTATTCTGTATGAATAAGCCACAGACATTGCTTTAGAATTGAACAAAATTTCCTTTCATTAGCTAGACTTGTCTTTGCCTATTGCTTGTGTAGCCTATTATTTGGCTAAAAACTGAGAATTATATATATTATCTGAGCATGTATAGTTTTTAGCCCTCAAAGATATAAAATGTCTTACAAGCTTTCTTCATAAAATAACACTGTTCTTTGAGCAATTGTTCTAATCTGTCTGCAGAACTAGTCTTCACGTTCTCCTAGGGGGTAATTTGTCCTGTGGTTTTTCTGAGTCATGTGGAGAAGAACATTTTACTATGGCCATTTAGCATTTTAGAATCAAACGATTTGTCAGAGGGCAGCACAAGACATCATAGGTAGCACAGGTAGGGATTTGGTGATTAAGTGAGGAAATAAGATGAACTATTTTCTTACATTGCTAGACATACCTGAACTTCAATATCCTCCATGACTGCTGATCTACACATACCACTTACATGGAAAAATGAAAAAAATGAATTAAATACAGTCCATACACGATAAGATCACACTATCAAAAGAAAGGAAAGAGAATATAAGTTTTAATGGGAAAAGGCCAAATCTAAATTGGTGAAATATTCAATGACATGAGGTCCCTAAGATCTGTTTTGGTAGAAGACTTTATGATGGTACAGAGGCTCAGTATAAATCCAATATTTTCATTTTTGAGAAATACCATTGCCCAGGATACTCAAATGTTATTTCACTCTTTAGAAGATCTTGCTTCTTCCTATGGTGAGAGTGGAGACCAACTTCCAAATTTAACTGAGATCCAAGAGCTTTATAATAATAATTCTTAATAACTAAAGAGCATTTTTAGCTTGGAATCTCTCAGTAGAGAAATTTGTTATCTATTTGTACTATTTTCAAAGTCTAGTGTTTCTGAAGTTGTGTTTAGTAGATTCAGAAGCTCTCTATATTCTTCAAAATACATATGATTACTTCATGAAATTCTTTTTTAGTATTTGTGAATCATCTGATATTCCTGACATATTCACAGATTTTTGTATTTCTGTCTTCAGTAAGTACAGATGTACAGATGTGTGCAGATGTGTAGTTGCCAAATACTACTGTCTTTCAAATTGCATATTTTTTTGGTGTTACCTTTTCTAGGATTTCAGGCTTGGCGTATAATGGAGCTAATTACGTTTTCTTCCCAGGAAGCACCCAGCTAGATCGGTGCCTCAGGCACATAACCTCAGTTTACTGCTTTCCTTCACTCGTTTATGCTGTATGTGAGATGAGACTTCTCAAACAGCAAAGGTAGAGTACTCAGGCCAGGAAGCCGCTGAGAGATTTTAGCAAGTACAGAGTTGGTGTTTGAGTCTCAACCCTGACATTACACATCACAGAGTGGGTGACAGTGGAGGATATCTTCCCACATGGGTTGGCTGTGGGTGGCAATCTGCCAAACTAAAATAATGAGAGAGGCATTGGTTGTATAAAAATGAATCAACTTGGCTTAGCTGTAAGATATTTTGCAAGATTCTAGGAATATTATTCCATTCTTTCTCTGATTTTTTTTTTTTGGTGGGGGAGAATCCAGAAAAATTTAACAAAAACAGAATTGTGTTGGGACAAGTTTTGTTCAGTAATTTTATTAGTGCATCTTCCTCTTTAAGCAATTTGATAGATTTTATAAAAATAATTTAATAAGAACAAACTCTTTGGCACTCATTTTACTGGCTTATTTATATTAATAAACATGTCTTTCCTATCCAACCACTGAAGAAACTAAGATCAAAATCTCCAAGTTACCAAAGGGGAGATCTGGAATTTAATCTCAACTTTATTTGACTGTAAAGCCTTGGGTTTATGTTAACAGGTCAACAGGTTTTTATGTTAATCTCCAGGTTAACAGGAAGTGTTCTAAATTTAAAAGTTTAGGAGAGACTATTTAGGTAATATTCACAAAAGAAAACTGTATACTTGCATGTTTATACACATATATAGGTATATACTACACATTCCATTAGAAGAAGAACTTTGTTTTTCTGGTAAAAGTACTTATATATAATATTGATTTTATTGCAGATAGACCTATCTTACAGAAAGGGCTCAGTGTTATCCTCAAGAAATAGAGAAATACATTTTTTTAAAAAGCAGTGACTTTATGACATTAAAGTATTAAGTGGTTTTGAATATTGAATAATTTATGTTGCTTCACTGAAAACCAAGAGAAAAAAGTAATCTCTCTAAGATATCCTACAATTACAATATGAATCTATTTATGTATCAGATAAATGGATAAGTGAGCAAAAGTAATAAGAGACTGTTGTAGATAATTATACATATGTATATAAAATGAGAATTAACTCACTTATTTCTCAGATAAAAGCAAAGTAGCACTTTTCAGCTTCTTTGGGCTTGTGAGGCAGGCACAGTGCCACTGAGCTAAATCCCTGGCCCCCACTTGTTTTTTAGATTTTTAAATTAATTATATACCAATATATTGTATACCATTTTAGGTATACAATATAATGACATTCATCATTGGAAATTTGCACTTTTACATAATTCATCTTGGTTCTTATTTTTTCCCCATTCCCCTGCCCGCCCTTTAGCTTCTACATCATTAAAGCTCTTTAAAGTCCTGATCGAATTCTTGAACAGTAGTCTTTCTTCTTTTTCTTTCCCACAGCTGGACAGTGTCACCTCCCTTATCCAAGCGGCCAAAAATTTGATGAATGCTGTGGTGCAGACAGTGAAAATGTCTTACATTGCCTCAACCAAGATCATCCGAATCCAGAGCCTGGGTGGGCGAAGGCACCCAGTAGTGATGTGGAGGATGAAGGCTCCAGCAAAAAAGCCCTTGATTAAAAGAGAGAAACCAGAAGAAACCTGTGCAGCTGTCAGACGCGGATCAACAAAGAAAAAAATCCATCCAGTGCAAGTCATGAGTGAATTTAGAGGAAGACAGATCTTCTGAAAGCATTCTTCTACTCTAGTGATTCTATTACAAAATCCTGGCTAACCACACTGCTTTATTTTACATTTTACTAGTCCTGTAACTTTACTAAGTTTCAGCATTTAACTCACAAGTAACATAGAACATGAACGCTAAACCAGCGTAAGCGATGTATATTTGGGATCATGTCAATGCCATTTCTGTATAGCCAGCACATACTAATTAATCAATTCATGCTTGTTTAGTGAATGAAAACTTCAAGTGTCATTTGGTTTGTCCTATCACAGGGAATATCATATAATCATTTCAACATGAACATACAAAAGGCAAGTAAGTCCTACTTATCTGTAATAGTTCACCTACATTCACTCCTTTCATTGTAAATTAAAACATTGACATAAGTTCTTGACTTGCTTTTCAATAAAAACATTTATTAAATATTTTCCCACTTAATATCCACAATTTCTTTACCCTACCTAACCTGGCAGAAATGCCTAATTCCTGCCACAAGGAAACAAGTTGTGATCTCTAGATATCTGTATCCATTGTCAACTGATTAGTCTAACTTCTACCGAAAACAAATTAGGGCAGTCAGTTTCTCACTGGATTTTGAAACTCAGCCTTTGCTTTTAGGAAAATGCTTTAATACCATTACAAAGGATATGGTAAGCTTTGGTGGCACAACACATTTTAGGGTTTCATTGTTCTGTACTTTCCAGTATTAGGTCCATCAGACTACACCTGCTGAAGGTGAATTATCCCTTGTTGGAGAAATGAGACACAGAAATGTATCCCAGCCTGCGTTATAACAATAGAATGTAAGAAGTTCTGCATGACTCAAAATCTATTTCTATCCCTTATCAATTGCTATTAAAAAGAAAGGCCATTTTGAAAAATGTTTGGCATCAAGGGAGATATAACTTTGTGAATGGTATCACTGAGCTAAGAAGCAGGGCTCATGAGAATGAGGCTAGAAGCTAGAGTAATTCTTTATTTTGTTTTTCTTTTTATCTTTTTTCTTTCATATTTTTCTTTGTTTTAATTTTTATTTTTGTTAGTGCATGCTTACAGTACACAATGATTACATTCACTATGGGGAATTGACACATGTACGTAAAACATCTTAACTCTTTAATAAAAGTCACTGGAGTCATTTTATAAACCCAATAACTGCTCACCTATAGTTGAGGTCATAATGAATTTCATAATTGTCTCGGAATCTAGTATACTGTTTCTCCCACTTTTCCTCTCCCTAGCCCTGTTCTTATCCTGCTGAATTTTCTATAATCTCTTTGGAAGAGTTAAGTTACAAACTTCTTACATTCATCCCCTATTTTACTTTACTAAAATAATATTATTATTGTAAAATCTCTCTTGGAAACACTGTCATTAAAGAGTCATTTCAACAACCATATGACTTTATATTGATGAAACAAAATGTATGCATACAACAGCAGTTCATGATAGAGGGACAAGTTTGAGTAAAAGGATGCATGAAAAATAGGAATATGTAAAGATTGAGAGAATGATATGATGATATCTGGAGCAAAACGGTGTGGGAAAAGATCTATTTAATAGGGCACTGTTAATTATGAGGGGAAAAGTCAGTTTCTTTTATTATAATGAATTATTTCCTTTTCCTAAAAGGCTGTATTCCCTGGCTCAGTAGATAAATGTCTTATGAATTGAAGACAATTAACTGCTCTCTGTCTTGCCTATGTACTTTCTTACAACAATTATTCTGGACAAACTCCACTCTCTAGAAGACATGGTGGCAGTGAAGAAGGGAATTAGGCAATTCAGATGATTCTGGTTTCCAGTACTATCTAGAAATTTGAGATAAATAGGTAATTTCTTTTGTTGCAATGGTATCATCATTTTGTGCTCAATTAACACAGTCAGTACCTGCGGCACGTTCTTCTCTCAAGTATATGTGCTAGTTTATAGAATTATCCTTAAAACTCAATAATTACTAGCTATATATCTTAGCTCTTAAATCTAGATGCAGGAGATTCACGAGTCTCGTTTAGAAAATTGAATGTCCATTTGACTCTATAAAAATTTTCTATATGCTAGAATTTAGAATGCAGTACTATATGGCAAAAACAGAACTAATATGAAATTGCACAACTATCCAATAAATTTAAACACTTTAAAAAAATGACTACATAATTGAGATGTGAACTAGGCCTTCTCTTTAGTATTAGAAGATTTCTATATAAGATAAAAGCAACTACATATAATTAGACCAAAACAATACAATTCACGTGTTAGAAAATGCAATATACTCTTCATATTCATAAGAGTGCCTGTTGACCTTTGAAAATCTCTTAGGAGTCAGTATAGCATATATGTTCCCCATAAAATCTCTCTATACAGAGGAGAAGGCCCACCATAGCTACACAGAGAGGCCTGTTCATGGAGTCCAGCATTACTTAGCTTTGAAGAAGGTCAATTTTCAAGTCCTATTGATAAAATTGTAAATATACAATTAAATGCCCAGTTGCACTACCAAACCTAATAATTCTCCTCAAACTCAATAATGAGTGACTACAGAAACTAATATGTGACAAAGGTTTCCTAAATGTTCATTTTCAGAGTAGTCTTCTTATGTAGCCCATTCCTGAGCTATGTTTCCTCCTATTAACTACCAATAGCTTTCTACCAGAATGATATGGCCAGGCCTGCCCATCTCAGCAAATCACCCTGATAATATTCTTTCTATGTGCCAAATAGCTCTCTCTCCTCTCCCTGAAATTCTTACATGTCTGTCCTCCATGTAAATTGGCAAATACATTCTGTAGGGTTTTAATATTTTTAGCAGAATCATTCTTGTAGCTTTGCTAGTCCCAAAAACATTCATACCCTTTTTGGTGTTAAATCTACATTTCGATGCTAAGGATGGTAGTTCCCATGGATACAGATTTCTATACAGTGACAAAGTATATGGAATGAGACCTAAGCCTTTTCCTGGTGATTCTGACAGTTATGGAATGAACTCAAGGCAGAATCATCAGCCTTTTTTTAGTATTGTTATAAGTAATTTTCTAGGTTGACAAAACAGGCACCAGAATCTCAATTTGGTCAAAATATATACTGTTTTGCCAAGACAAGCAGAATATTGTATATTTAGGAGTCAGATATCCATTTTGTGTTTGTAAAGACAAAAATACTTGTTTCATTTTTCAGAAAGTTTAAGGACATTCAGTTAAAAATAAAGCTTGTATATTTTTAGTAATTCATTTTAAGTTAAACTAGGAAAAGTTCTCCAACCTAAGATGTTTTTATTTTCATCCTATATATCACAGATCAGGAAACAACACTTATTCAGAGGAAAACCCTATCTCCATGCAATTATGATATGTCTAGCATTAGTACCTTGCACATTAGCACCAAATAAACAAATAAGAGCTAAAGATTAAAGTATCATTACACATACAAAGTACTTTAAGAATTTTTCATTTTGGCCCTTTTAGTCAAATTAGGGAAAAAATGATATTTTTAAAACGGAATGGATTTAGCTGAATATGTCCTAATCAATGTTATTAACACTATCCTAAACATCTAACGGAGAGAAAATGAATTAAAATTTTAAGTATATTTTTCATCTTTACATGAATAAAACATATTTTCTATTTAAGCAAAATAAAGTTTTGTTTAAACATTAGCTATTTTACATGTAAATACCACCCACAGAGGGCATAAATTCCATCTTTGAACACTTCAAACGATAATTGATGCTAATTGAGAGAAAGTCTCCAAATGGAACCAAAGTGGATCAAAATCCCTATCTTTCACTCTACATCTGTGAGGCTGCACCTTGTGTACATGGTAGAGTAAGTTTTTTTTTTTTTTTTTTAGTACCTGGGATCGAACTCGGGTCCTTGCGTTTGCACAGTAGGCAGCGAAACCGCTGAGCTAAATCCCCGGCCCCCATCGTAGGGTAAGATGATTTATGGTTGTAGTATGCATGATGGCATCCAATAGTCCCAACCAGTCTAGTGGGGAAAACACAGAATGAGACTTTTAAAGTAGCTTGGCAAGTGGAATAAAAAAGGAGCAAAGGCAGAGGATTTCTAAATGAACAGGGATAAGAAAGTGTCAGAGGTAGAGGAGGGAAAGAGAAGGATAGTTGCAGAAGAGATAATTTATAGGCAGAGAGTAGAAGAGATTTTTGGTGCTGTGAAGATCAGATAGCCTCATCCTGAAGAAAGATTTGATGCTAGGCTGGGACATTCATCCTGGCATGGTGTTGGTTTGCTAATGTCAGAGGCAAAAATGGTAAACTGTATAAATATTGACAATGAATTAGTAATAAAATTTGCAAGCTGATAAATAGGAATTTAGCCATTCTTCTGGCAAATGATGGGAGAATCAGAAGAATTACACATTTATACATTCAACAAGCAACTATATTTGTTAAGCAACTATAATGTTCCATGCACCCTTCTAGGTTCTTGGGATATACTAGGTAGTAAAACAAATGACCTTTGTCCTCAGGTGTCAAGTCTGTGTTAAATGCTATTATCTTACTTAATACTTCCAATAACAATGCGGGCTATATATAATTAGCCTCATTTTCACAGCTAAGAAAACTGAAGCTTAAAAAGGATGAAAATCCTCCTCAAATCTCACTGACATTAAATTATTACATCTCAGATTCCGAACTATTAGCTATCACACCATCCAGACTTCTTGGAAAAAGAGACTGAGTTTGTCAGTTGCTAAAGAGATATGCATTTCAAACCCTGTTTGATTTCCTATATAATAGCAAAAATATAAAAGCTTTAAGAAAATATATATCCATCCAACCTACATCATTCAAAGCTGATAAGAGTTATACGAATGATTTGCTGCATATTCTTACCTCTAATAAGTCAATATAGAATATCAGACATGTGAGGAGTAAGTATTTTCTGTATGATCCTATAAAAGAGGACAGCCCTTGCCAACACATTTTTATCACAGTGAATGAGACAACTTCAATGGCAAAGCCTATGTCAGCCCATCTTCAGCAGTGGTTGCCAAAAACCATTTGGTGACACCATTTCTTTTGTCTTTTACAGCTAATGTGAACCTGCATTAGTTTAAAATTATGGATTCCAGGAAAGTGTTGGCCAAGGATTGTTAAAATAAGCTAAATTTTCACTGAATTTCAGATTTACCCATACTATTACAAACATATATTTCCTTCAATATGGAGGTCACAAATGTGCATAGTAGGTGCTTGATTGCATATAAACTTAGTCCTAACTTAGTTCTTTTACTTCTATTTCTTTCCTTTTGGGGGGAGGGAGGGTATGGTCCTGGGAGTTGAAAGTAGGGGCTCATTCATGCTAGGCAAATACTCAACAACCAAAATACATCCCCAGTTCTTTTTAATTGTTTTTAGAGATAGGGTCAAACTAT